CCCCCCCCCCCCCCCCCCCCACGCTCCACACTTCCCCTCGTCGTTCCCTTTTTCATTCCCATTCTTGCCCTCTCTTTCTCTCTCACTCTCTCTCTCTTTTTAATTCTCTGTTTTTTCTCTTCCCTTTTCTGTGCCCAACTGTCCGTTTCTATCTTTCTTTTCTTTCCTCGTTTATCCCCCCCCCCCTCGCTCGTTCTCTCTCTCTCTTTCTCTCTTCTTTCAACCACCGAATGGTTGACAGTCGAGTGTAGACGACACCTCGGAAACGCCTTCTTTTCTTATTATCCGCAAACGAAATCCGAACAAGCATCGATTCGTTTGCCGACCGATGTTTCTCCGTACAGAAAATATTACATCTCGTCGAATGTAACAACGATGAATTATCATACGCATACGTATCGAGCGAGACAGTATCGTTTCCTTGAACGTCAGAAAATCCGCGAACAATGAGCGAAGAATCCGAGTAAGAAAATTATAAACACGGACACGGAAGAATTAAGATTCACGAGAGTAAGAGAGAAAGAAAGCGCGCGCGCGAGTTAAGAAGATAAAGAGAAAATCAGAGCAAAAAGGAAAGAAAGAGGAATATAGAAAACGAGACGGAATAAACGACAACTTCATCGTTCGGCGAATCGACTCGGTTTCGAAAAATGTACGTAGTTTTATAAAACTCACCGCAACGAGGGCTGCTAATCTATCCTTGGTCATGGCAAGGGTGGCAAAGTGTTGCGAATCAGCGGGTGTACGGAGTGAAGAGACTAGCGGCTAATCCCATTCACGATTTTATCCATGTACTATGAGCACGACCACTAAAAACTAAAGGAAACGGACGCACTAGCGGCGAGAGACACGATCGTAAAATCGATACACTCGCGAACTCGCCTGCTTCTGCAGTGCCGTCCGTTGCGCTACGCATGCGCTGATGACGTCAACTATACTCAGGACCGAACCCAGAACTCGTAGTAGCCCCATCTTAACGATGTGTCCCCCACCTCTCTATTTACCGACCCTCCTACACATACGCGCATGCACACGTACGCACACAATTTCTGCTCTGCTTTACGAATTTTCATTTCTCCATATTTTCGATAAAATATGAAACATTCGATTTCAAATCTTATCCGTTGTTTCCATCGAAACGATTGATATCATATGCTTTCCATTGTCTGCGCGAATGCCTTTATAATTCCGTAGCTGTATTGTTATTTCGCTAAGCATACGAAAAGAGTGCGAATTTATATTAAATGATTATAAAGATAGAGGATAACGCGTCGTATCGATGAACGCACGATTGTACCAGGTATTTTAATGTACGATATTTGCCATCGAAACAGGCGAGGGAAAAAAGTCGAGAACAAAGTACTACTTTAAATATGTCGTTTTCAAATTTAACATCTATACCGCCTAACGCAGGCCGATATATCGTTCCACGTATATATACATATATTAATACTCCCGTTAAAAACTAAAATTCTTCGATACCGGCTCGATGTGGCGCGCATAAAATAGATGTCGCTGATTTACGTTCTTTTCTTGTTATAATTTAAAAAAAAAATACCGATTTATATATTATTTTAATAATTTAAATGGAAAAATATTCGAATAACATTTTTTTGTACAATATTCATTTAATACATTTGCTAAGTTCGATTATATTTTACATGGCAAATGACGAAAATGCGGACCCCTGTCGTCGACTCGAAGGAACGCCATTGTGAGCCGTAACGACTGTGTTGCAGGGTAAATTTTATCGGTCATTTTCACGTACACGTTACTTGCCGGGAAATTTCGTACCAATATTCTCAGATTTTCATTGATTCATGATAAATTGATTATCGATCTGCACGATCGTTCGCGATTTTTATGAAATTACATGTAATTGTGTGATAAGATTAACGTGAAAGCCTGTGTTACGACAGGCGCCATTCTTTTAGCGGAACGTGGTGAATTTGTACGTCGACTTGTCTCAGAGCGCGGGACATTGATCAACCGGCTTTTCAAATTACCATAAAAAATACGATAAAGTAGCATTTCGGTAGGTGTGTTTATTCTATAATCGATATAACACGTTATTTTCGAGTTATTCGAAATACAGTTCGAACACCGACATATCGTGATCACGTTTTTCATGCGTGATACAATTTCCGATTTAGCATCTTCCAGTAATTTCCATGTATCCGACCAACCGAATAACCTTATTATAAGCTAAGCAGCTGTCTTATCGCGGTGTGCTATTTCGTTAGTCTGTTGTGCGAGTTATACGTCGAAAATCGGTTTCCTCGATTGAAAACTTAATGAAAACTTTAACATTTCAAGGGTAATCCTTGCTGTTCCAGATTTCTCTCAATCACTTCGACTTTTCGACTAACCATCGGTATTAAAATGGCACAAGAAGCTGATATTCCCACTTTCAAATGCGTATTAGTCGGTGATGGTGGTACTGGAAAAACGACATTCGTCAAACGACATTTGACCGGCGAATTTGAAAAGAAGTACGTCGCAACTTTAGGTGTGGAAGTGCATCCTTTGATCTTTCACACGAATCGCGGCCCGATTCGATTCAACGTTTGGGACACAGCTGGTCAAGAAAAGTTTGGTGGCCTTAGAGATGGATATTACATACAAGGACAATGTGCCGTCATTATGTTTGATGTTACATCCAGAGTAACATACAAAAATGTGCCCAATTGGCACAGAGATTTGGTTCGAGTTTGTGAAAATATACCTATTGTACTTTGCGGGAATAAAGTTGACATTAAGGATAGGAAAGTGAAAGCCAAGAGCATTGTTTTTCATAGAAAGAAGAATTTACAGGTAAGAAACTACTGTTGCTTATTGTCGTAGCTTTTCGACAGCAGCAGCAGACACTTTCCACTCTTTCTATTCTTTCCTATTCGTCCTTTCTACTTGTTCTAATCTCGTGTATCTTCAAATGTATATACATATACGCATAAAATATTCTTTGCGTGCTTGTTTTGCAGTACTATGACATCAGTGCAAAGAGTAACTATAATTTTGAAAAACCTTTCTTATGGTTGGCACGTAAATTGATTGGTGATGCAAATCTTGAATTTGTCGCGATGCCAGCTCTGCTTCCACCAGAAGTTACAATGGACCCACAATGGCAACAACAGATCGAGAAAGATCTTAAAGAAGCTCAAGAGACAGCGTTACCAGAAGATGACGAAGATCTTTAGTTTGTCACGTCGCGTGTATGATACGAATAGAGGCAAATCGTACACATACACGTGCGTGTTGAGTACGTTATGTACTTGTGCCTCTATATATCAGAGATTCTTTCTTCGATGGAATTAAACGTCGATATATCTAACATAAACGGTGACAGAAATATTTCTATGACATCACGTTTCTCGAGCTTTGTCTTAAAGACAGGATACCTGGAATTGAACATCGCGTTTTCGCCCATATCTAAATTTGTGCGCGCGATTACATTAAACCCGAGGTCTAATTCCATACAAGCGTCGTCTGATTTGTGCATAGCGTGTCTTTCATCGATTTTCAAATGTACGATTTGATCGATACACACAAACTTTCACGATGAAATTTTACGCTCTGTAGTTTCAAATTATTGTTTCTTTCATTTACATATTGCGTATGGGTGTGCGTGAGTACACGTATGTTGTGTGAAATGATGTATCTGATGTAATGGAGTTGTTAGAATAACTTGCCAATCTGCTTTAAGGCATAGCGTCAAAGCCGTTGGATTTTTGTTGCTAATTTTATAATACCGTATACGGAAACATTGTACGTGAATTGCCTTTATCAGAATGAGTGAACGTGCTGTTTGGTAATATAATAAAGTGAGAAATTAATTCTGTAAGAAAGAATCTTTCGATATGGTCGAAACGCTAATATTAGAAGTCACTGTTTACACATGCGTGAGAATGCGATCACGCACGTACACATCTACGTACACATACAACAAATTTGAGAAATTCTCAAAGTAGTTCAATCTTTACCAACAAATAATATAACCTTTGCTGCTACTTTACGTACATACTAATACCCGACGATAAGCGAAAAAGGAATAAAGTACCAATTGGACGAAAACAGTGCAGCAATCGTTTCTGTGAATAATGTATGATTCTTAAACACAGTGTTGTATTTTGAAATAATGTTTTGATTGGAGCGAAGCACGGTTTGTAGTCAGTTGCGCCTGTCCACGATAACGAGAATTGTTTACTATTTTTATTAGCGAAGGTGAATGTACGATTTGTTCAACTTAAATTATATAAACAGTGTTTTTCTTTTCTATACAAACACATTCGTTTCGTTGGGTGACGGACAAAACCTTTTCCTAATTCCTTCGTTTTATCACTAATTGAATATACCTGAGTGTGCACGAGGTAAAATGTACACCCAACCATAGCACTTCTATGATTAATAGATACAGACAGAAACAAGAGGAACGAAATACTTGCTATCAGTGTTTCGTACGTTCTACTCGAAACAGCTTGTACCGTTGATGTATTGCACTCAATAAATCATCGTTGAACTGTTTCTTAAATTTTACATTTTCGGAACGTTTTATCCGCTAGGGAAGTCACGGGGGAAGGAAAAATGTTCGTATCATCTATGTGACGAAAAACAAGAGACCGAAGAACGTTATATACAAAGAAAACATTTTATTTATTATTCATCAGATACACGTGTGTTTACATACAATAAAATGGTAGTAAATGTGATAGCATAAAAATAAGTTGCAAGTAACGTAATGTACATAACTATAGAGTGATAATTATGTAACTGAATAATTATACCACGATAATATCCGTACGTCTAGTCTATACACGCGAGCGTGTTTCTCTTATTAAGATTTCTATTTGGTTTCTCTTATTAAGGTATATAGGATAAATGCAAAAAAAATAATGGAAAATTAAGCTTCTGCCGCCATCAGTTTCGCGATTTTCTTTTTACCTTCGAGAAGCAACAATCGATCGTCGTCACTTAGTCCTGGCAAAATATTCGTTATTACTCCAGTTGCTAAAGTTTTTATTCCATCCCTCAATGTAAATCTCTGTCCCTTTTCACATACCATCGGCCTTATTAATTTCAATACAGCACTGTAAACACAAGTCCATATTCACATTATATCGTCTTATCAAGTAAAGCGAAAAAGTTTCTTCTTTTTTTTTTTTTGTTTCAATAGATTTAAAGAAAACTTACGTAAAATCTTCACCGGGCATGATCATTTTTTTCTGGATTAAATTCATCTGACACGCGACGTCCCATGTTTTGCAAAACATTTGAGGTTGAGTCATATCGCCAACAGGTTTTTTTCTACCTCCCTCTTCTGGAGTCAACATATATAGTTGACATTCTACATGATCATTGGCTTTCATGCTACCTGGTTTACAGAGTATCATTCCTCTTTTAACATCGTCCCTTTTTAAACCTCTAACTAAAGCACCTAATTGATCACCCGCTTGCGCTTCCTCCAACGTTTTGTGAAACATTTCTATTCCCGTTACGGTGGTCTTTATTACTTTATTGAACCCGATCAATTCGCAATCCGTGCCTTTTTTAATTCTTCCACGTTCCAATCTGCCTGTAACTACCGTGCCTCTTCCCATAACCGAGTAAACGTTCTCTATTGGTAATAAAAACGGTTTGTCTAATTCTCTTGTGGGCGTTGGAATATAAGTATCAACAGCATCTAACAATTTGAGTACAGCATCCCGTCCTAGTGCCGGCTCAGTACCATTCAGCGCGTGAAGTGCGCTGCCCTTAATAACGGGAACATTTGTCCCATCGTAACCCATTTCAGTTAATAGGTCCCTTATCTCTAGTTCTACTAAATCAACCATTTCATTGTCCGCTGCGTCGACCTTTACAAATAAACATGGAATATAGAGTTTTGGAGGAGAGAATTCTTAGCTTTTTAAAAAAAGAATGGAAAGCTTTAAATCTTACCTTATTGATGAAAATAATAACATGATCGATACCAATTTGTTTAGCTAGTACAAGATGCTCTCTTGTTTGCGGCATAGTACCGTCTGTAGCAGCGACAACAAGGATGGCTCCATCCATTTGCGCCGTACCAGTGATCATGTTTTTAATATAATCTGCATGTCCTGGACAATCCATATGACCGTAATGTCGACTTTCTGTCTGATATTCAATGTGAGCCACATTAATGGTAATGCCACGAGCTTTTTCTTCAGGTGCATTGTCTATTTCACTGTATTGTTTCAGTTTTGCGAGCTCCTTTTCGGCAAGGACTACGACATACAGTGATGGGAATGATAATTTAAAACGCACTAATAGAAAGAAATTATAGTAGGAAGAGTAGGATAGATGGAAAGAAGATATAATGGGAGAAAAAAAAAGAGACGAGTACCTTTAGTGATAGCTGCGGTAAGAGTCGTTTTTCCATGATCCACGTGACCGATTGTTCCAACATTACAATGTGGTTTATCTCTGCTGAATACTTGTTTCGTGCTATACAACCTTTGAGTTATCGTGTCCGATAAACGCGATTTTATACGGAATGTACCGTATAATTTCTGAAAATGGAACGAAAATTCTACTTTGAAATGCTAATTCAATTAGGGATGAGGTGTATAACAAAAATAACAACGAGAATAACAATTATGAAAATTACGTCACAATTTTCTTACTTGTTTCGTTAATAGATGTTCGAAGTAAAATAGTTGTTTGACGGTGATCCCGAGTACTGAAAACAGATACCTCTGATTACACGACACGGTTGAATTTTTTTTTTGATTCTATTTAACTTGAGTGCCTTTCATCTTTACGAAATCGAATTTTGTGAAATCGGTTTCAATTATTCGTTCTCCACTTTTGATTGTCTCAAAAAGATGCGAATTCGATTCGATCATCATTCGATACGAAGACAAATTACATTCACTTACCTGGATTGGAAATCATTTTCGTATATATAAATGCCATGCCTGAAATTGAATTTTCTTAACACTTAACCTGTTCTTTTAACGCGAGCTATAAAGGACGAGTACGACGACAGCGACATCCGTTGTGAAAATATCGAACGAGTTACGTAATGCAAACGACTCTAATCGCGTTGCAGGTTAAGGTGACAACGAATCTTTGGATTCGTTTTCATCGATCCATTTTGGTTTTTGGTTTTGGCCTTAGAAGAAGCATGGAAAGAAAAAGTTGAATTAGACTTGATTACGAGTCACGTGTATATGTTGGAAATTCGACTAGTAGAGAATCTCACATGGTATTTGTTCTTTTCCCACTTCGTGGTTGGACAAACGTCTATTGTGGCGGTAATTTCAATTCGGTTAAAGTTATCACACGTGTAATTTCCTTTGACCATATTTTCGTATCATCGATTTAGTCGAAGTCTGAAATGGAATTCGTTCTTTCTCGATTACGATCGAGATTGGTCTCTTGGAAGAAGAAGAAAGGAAGAACAGTGCGTGTGCATAAGTGCGGGAAAATTAATAACCGAGATCTAATTAATTCAAAAAGAATAACGAGGCATGAAAGAAAGGGGAAGATACAGAAGGTGCGGGGATCGGGAGGTTTGATATTACCGTCGTTACAGCATAATTTTCAGATACTCGGTCAGATAAAGACGGTATACAATCGGGATGTATTCGGAACGAAGGAGATAAATTAAGCTAGATATCCGAGCATTCCGGACTTCCTTATTTGCACATTTCGGAGCTAATCGCGGATGAAACGTGTGGCCGTGGAACACCGGCTCGCTAGATGGGGCATCGAATCGGTGAAAAATGGGGCTCGGTAACGAAGTAAAGCGGAGCAAAGCGAAGAAGAACGAAATTATATTACATACATACATTCATATATAATATATATATATATATATATGTACATATATGTACATGGATCGGATCTCGCATCGTATAAAACCGCTGAAAGTCGGTTATAGTGTCGTTTTTATTCGAAAAAACCACTTATCCCGATATCGCGGATAAAACCCGGAAATTCGTCGATTGGTGTTCCGAGGCATTAGGCAGGACGCGTGAAAAAGTTATCTAAGGCGCGATAAGTGCGTGTATCGATAACAACGCGAGTGTACGAACGTCGGTTCGATACTTATTCGACGGAGTAGAATAAAATATCGCCTCGACGAAGTCACAGTTTCGTTTTCGCTTCTTCGATCCTTGTACGGTTTTATGGCCTTTCCGTGCAGGTCTTTTACCTCGCGTTCAACGCGTTCTACGCGCTTCTCGCGCCTCGCTCTTCTTTTGTTCGAGTCTCGCTCGATCCTCCTCCATTTACATTCCAGCGTAGTCCATCGCGGTGCTTCCTGTTTCACGAGGGGCACTCGCCGCCGCGTGCCGTTTTCCACTTCCCGCTTCCCGCTTCCCGTCTCTTCTTATCCGCTTATCGGTGGAGCGAACGGTGCATCGGCGAATCGTATGGACGATAATCACGAGTCGACGATGGTCCTTTCGACGTAAGGGTCGACGACGCAGGGGTAGCTCTGTGCGATGGATCCGGCGGTTGGTGGAGACGAGGAACGGTAGTAGAAGAAGAGGTCAGCGATACCGTTCGCTGGTGCGATCAATCCTGCCGAAGGACCAGAAATCGACAAAAGCACACGCACTGGTCGATGTACCGATAGATAGGTATGTAGATAGGTAGGTAGCTAGCTAGGTAGGTAGGTAGGTAGGTAGGTAGGTAGCTAGATCGACAAAAGCACACGCACTGGTCGATGTACCGATAGATAGGTATGTAGATAGGTAGGTAGCTAGGTAGGTAGGTAGGTAGGTAGGTAGGTAGGTAGGTAGCTAGATAGGTAGGTAGGTAGGTAGGTAGGTAGGTAGGTAGGTAGGTAGGTAGGTAGGTAGGTAGGTAGGTAGGTAGGTAGGTAGGTAGGTAGGTAGGTAGGTAGGTTGGTTGGTTGGTTGGTTTGCTGGTTGGTTGGCTGGTACCGGTACGAGAAAGGGAGGCGCGGGCGATGGAGCAACAGGAAGAAGAGAAGGGGTGGAAGAAGCTCGCGTCTGCGATCCTCTCTCGTACTAGAATACCAATGAATTTCGAAGTAACCTGCACGTGACCCGAATCGCATTCGTTCGACACCTCGCTACCTCCTTTCATTTCCATATCCATATCGGTTGCAGCGGTCGGAACCAGCACGGAGCCATAACTAAGCAACTAGCCAAAGGACGAACGAAAGACTGCCCTACGGTTGGACGAGTGCCGAGGAAGAAGACCAGGCGGTGGAAAGATTGGCGATGGATTTCTAGCTACGAACTACATAGATCGCGGAAGGGAGAATATCGTTTGAAGAAAGATGAAGAGCAGAAGAGACACGAAGACGGAGAGACGGTGTGGTAAAGAAGTGGGAGAGCGAGGGAACACGGTTGTGTCCGCTTTTCCATCGTTCGTGCACGGAGGCCAAAAGCGGCGGAGGGTCGCTCAGTTTGCTTTCAGTCATCAGCCGAGGAACGCGCGGATATCGAGCAGTCGCGTTCGTTGAATCCGTGCACCGCGCAATCACACGCTACGTACCTCCACGAGGGTGCGATCGATCGTTCGATCGTAGTGAAAACGTCGCGTATCTGGAAAATAGGAGCTCGATGATGCGCGGCTACGGTGGAACTATGGTTCTTCTGTTGCTCGCGGTCCACTGTTTGGTGAGTTTTCTCGCACGTTCGTTTGCCCCGTCTTTCACCCGACGCGACTTCATCGCGCGTAAAGAACGCGATGAAGCGATAACTCGAGGACGAAAAGAAGCGATAAGCGTGGCGCAAGTTCCACGAGATACGCGTAGACGCGTACGCGGCTCGTTTCGCAGGAA